AGCTCTGTATCCTCTTTTGAGAAGTTAAAATGGAACCCAGCCTCTGGACGAGAATTTACTCATAAGCTGGAATGTTGGCTCTCCGAGAAAGTCCCTAATTGTGGTGAGGGAATTGAGGAGCGGAATGAATTTCTGAGAAATGCCATCATTACTTGTGCTCAGGAAACTGGAATGCTAGTGTTGTGTAAGGATAGACATGGCGCCTCAGAAGGTGGAACCACTCAGTATAACAGAAAGTGGATGGATAAAGAGGCTCGGAAATGCAAATCTGAAGCAAATAGGGCCTGGAAAGTTTATAAAAATAATAGAATAAATGAGAATGTGATTGTAGACGCTATGTTACTTGAAGATTTACACATGAAGAAGAAACAGTTCAAAGAACTTGTAGATGTTAAAAAGAAATTATTTTATATTGAGCTGAGACGTAAGATCGCTAATGTTAAAAATATAATTGAGTTCTGGGAAACTATCAGGGAATTGGGAAAGAAATATGCGGGAGGGAATGTCATACTTAAAGAAGTCTGGGAGAGTTTTTATCTTGCCATTTATCCACCTCGGATTTTCTTTGAAGTCTCATTCGCGGATGTGAGGCATCCTTTTTTAGATGGCAAAATTACTCTCGTAGAATTATCGTCTGCCTTGAGGTCTGCTAAGGTTGGCAAGGCCCCGGGTCCGGACCTGATTCCTAATGAATTTTGGAAGGCTCTGCCCCAGATAGGTTTGGATTTTGTATTGGATCTTTTGAATGAAATCTGGGACAGGGGGGTGGTTCCGGACGCGTGGCCCTGCGCTGCTTTGACGATGCTGCACAAGAAGGGTCCAGTGGATGATCCTAGTAATTACAGGGGAATCGCCCTTACAAATAGTATCCTCAAAATCTTCACAAAGATTCTGGCTGTTAGGATTGAGAAATGGATGGAATCTTCTGAGATTTTGCCGGAGTCACAGGCGGGATTTCGTCGCGGAAGAGGTTGTGAGGATCAGATTTTCTCTTTAATTACGACCGTTCAGATAAATATCAGAAACCCAGGGAGCACGGTATACTCGATTTTTATAGACTTTCGGCGTGCTTTTGATTCTGTACCTCACGACCTCTTGTGGTCTAAGCTTTTTTGCCTGGGTCTCTCTTCCAGGATCTTGAAGGTCCTTGTGGATTTGTATAATAAAGCTGAAGCTTTTGTGAGATTGAAGGGGGAGAAAACTAGGAATTTTGAAATTACAGAGGGGTTTTGCAGGGGGAGATTTTGAGTCCCCTTCTCTTCATTCTATTTGTTTCCGATTTCGAGAAATTTTTTAGGGATGGGGGGTTCAGGGGGGTCAGTATCGACTCCTCGCATGATCTTTTAATGCCTACATACGCGGATGATACGGCTCTGCTTTGTTTTAGTCCTATTGATGTTAAAAAAAAACTTGTGGCGTTGAAAAAATATTGTGATTTGAATGGTCTTAAAGTCAATACGAGTAAGACTAAAGTTCTGCCTTTCAGGATCAGTGGGAGGATACATAAGGCGGAAAAGGCAGCATTTAAGTATGATGATGAAATTCTTGAAACAGTAAAATCATACGAATATCTGGGGGTCCTAATAGAGAGTAATTTGAAAGGCATTGGAACAGCGAGACATGCGATCAATAAGGCAAAATCGGCGATCGGCGTCACAAAATCGATCTTGGTGAAATCCAAATCAGATGCGTGGTGTACAAAACTAAAATTGTTCGATAGTGTGATTTCTCCAACATTGTTTTATGCTGTGGCGTCGTGGGGCCTAGGGCATTTTGACCAGATAGAAAGAACACAGTCAGATTTTTACAAACAAATCCTCCTGCTTCCTTCAGGAACGCCAGGTTTTGCTATCAGACTTGAGCTTGGATTGAGACGACTAGCAGTCAGGGCTTTAGAGTTGACTCTGGGATGGCTAATTAGAATGCTGAATATGGGGACTCATAGACTGCCTCGTGTATGCCTGTCACGTTTGATTTTTCTTTGTGATAAGCCCTCGAACAGGGTAGAATATAATTGGGTTTCGAAACTGAAAAGAATTCTTTATGAGATCGATATGGAGTTCCTCTGGGATTGTTTGGATGTAGAGACCTGGTCAAAGCACAAAAATAATGTTCTTTCCAGATTCAATGACAACTTGAGGGCTCAGGATTATATTAGATACTGTGAATCGAAATCTTTACAGATAAAACTTCATTATAACGAGTTCTCATTCAAGCGCCCCAGGTACTTGTCGCTGAGATGCCCCATGGCCTTTACCCGTACCATTGCGCAGGTTCGCCTTGCGAATGTTTACTGTTGTAGATTGCTCGTGAATAACAATAAGTTTACCATCAACCTCAAAGATCTATGTAAGCTATGTCATCTTGAAAGGGAGGATTTTGTACACATCATTGTAAGATGTCCTCATTACCAACATATTAGGTTATCTCGCTTTTGTGATATCGTGAATGATAGATTTGAAGAAGATTGGCTCCCGAGTTTGCTTGATATACAGAACCCAAAAGAACTCAAACGACTGGCTTTTTTTCTAGTCGAAGCTCTTGAATTCAGGGATAATCAGCTGAGATCAAATATGTAAATGACACGACGCTTGCTTGGACTGGAATATGTGTGCTCGATGTTTTCTGTACGTACTTTTATTTTATATGCTTATGAGTTATGGTTTCTAATGGCCAGCTGGCCCCCCCCATGCAATGTGGGTGTCGTCTAGTGACGCAAACTCACGCAGGCATGTATATAAATAAATAAATAAATAAATAAATAAATAAATAAAACTCCACCAAACGTAGTGTCGGGGAAAAGCTCGAACCCTCACCCTGAGGTAATGGTCGGAATAAATGCATAATCTTCATTGAAACGTATTGCG